TAAAGCTTATGTCGTAAACTATAAAATGAAAAAAAGAATTTGTGTTGACGACTAATCTTATATGTGAAAATAACTGCCGTAGTTAAAAATATGCTATTTTTGTGTTAAAATTTTCATTTTTCGATTTTATATTTTCAACATATATTGCTATAACTTTTCGAAAAATGTATGTATCACCACATATTTTTTTTTCTAAATACATTATATATACCTCTTTTAATCAACATACTTTTTTTTTAATCGGACAATTTCCCCATATACAGAGGGCATTAAAAACTTGAAACATACATATAAAAAGTAGAACTTTTTCAACTTAATCTTTGAAAATATTCCGGAAATAATGCGTCCTTTTAACATATGTTAAATTAAAGCTTACATTATAGACTATAAGTAAAAAAAAAAAATTTGTCTCGACAACTTATACTCTATGTGAAAAAGGCCGTTAAAATTGAACAAAACATGTAATTTTTGTGTAAAAAATCAATAATATTTTGGTACTTAAAACTACCTTAATTTTTTTAAAAATGAACGAATCGACATAATTTTTTTTTTATATTGAAACCTTAGATATTTCCCTTTNACTACCTTAACTTTTTTAAAAATGAACGAATCGACATAATTTTTTTTTTATATTGAAACCTTAGATATTTCCCTTTCATTTAATATATATTTTTTGAAAATCTGACACTTGACCTGTCCATGGAGAAATTTAAAAAAGCAATTTTTGCACATAAATTAAACTAAATCAATTAAATTTTTGAACATTTTTTCTGGAAATATTGACACTTTATGTAATATACTACACTATGAAATAAAAAAATTATAAGTTATAGATCATCTCATAGTGAAAATGGGTACCATATTCAAAAATATACTATTCTTGTGTTAAAATTCTTAGTATTGTTTTTAATTTATTTTAATATACCTTATAAGGGTACTACACTGATTTTCATGAATATTATATAGATTTAATTATTAGAAGTACAAAAAAAAAATTGTACCGACCTCCTATTTTCTATTTGCTAATGGCAGTCGAAGTAGAACAAAAAATAGGAGTTAATTTTGCTTTTGGAAAATGCATATAGAAAGTAGAACTTTTTTAACTTAATTTTCAGGAACATTCAGGATATTAATAAGAAAATAACAGATCATGTAGCTTTTGGAATAATCCACCAATTCCTTAAAATTAAACACTATCTACAGATTTGCATCGAAACGTTTCTTATGATAGTGAATTAAATCACTGACAGATATCATTTATACTAGTCTTAACTATGCCACGCTCACATTGTGCCGTGACCCCACTGTACTACCGTTTTTTTAATTTAACTTCGGTGGCCGTTTTAATATAGAGACAGAACAACAACTTTATAGTATATATCATCAATGTATCATATATTTGAAGCTCATAGTATTTACGTAATATTTTAAGAAATTAACTTTTTATGTATAAGTTTTGAATTTTGAATCCATCCTGTAGGTAGGTAAAATGTCAGTTTTTCGAAAAAAATTTATCTAATAAAAGGTAAATAAAAGTTATTTATTAAAAAAATTATATTGAATCGTTCATTTTTGAAAATATTTTAGCAGTTTTATGAAAAAAGAAATACATTAAGAAAATAAACCGATTTTAGAAATTGTAATTTTTTTTGGGTATTTTCCTCATTTACAGGAAACGTGGTAGATTTTTCAATTTTCAAGATCAATGTCTACAACTAGATACGATTTGTGATCTTTTGATGTAAAAGCTAAGAAAATGTAATGACAGAAACAAAAACGGTAGCACAGTGAGGTCGCGGCATAATTGGGATTAGTATAGATGATATCTGACAGTGATTCTATGTCAATTAGTTTTATATAATGTTCATGAAAATCAGTGTACCGCATTATAAGGTATATTAAAATAAATTAACATACAAAACCCAAAATTTTAACACAAAAATAGCATATTTTTGAATATGATAACCATGTTTATTATATCTCGAATTTTTTTTCGTAGTATAGTATATTACATAAGTTTTAATTTAAGATTAAATTAAAGTGTCAATATTTCCGGAAAATTTTTAAAAATTGAGTTGAAAAAGTTTTATCTGTGCGTAAAAATTGTTATTTTGAATGCTCTATGTGGTCAGGTCAAAAGTCAGATTTTCAAAAAATGTATATTAAATGAAAGAAGTAAACATAAAATATTTATGAAAAAATAATTTTATTAATATATATATATTTCAAATAGTTATAGTAATTTGAAGTTGAAAAAATAAAATATGTAATCGTAAATTTTAACACCAAAATTGCAAGGCTTTTTATCTACGGCGACCATTTTCATATAGAAGATAAGTCGTCGGGTCAAATATTTTTTTTTGAACTTAGAGTGTATAACATTAGTTTTATTTTAGCATGTGTTTAAAGCTCGGAGTATTTCCGGAATATTTTCAAAACTTAAGTTGAAAAATTAAAATTTTTGTGCAGAAGTTGCTATTTTGAATTCCTCCTGTGGGCAGATAAATGGTAATATTTTCAAAAAATTTATATCAAAATGAAAGAGAAATATCTATGGTTTTAATATAAAAAAAGAATTATTTTGATTTGTTCATTTTTCAATAAGGTATGGCAATTTTTAGAAAAAAAATTTTTAAAAATGTCGACATTTAATCGTAATTTTTTGAGGGATATTCACTATCAACAGGGAACGAGGGCAAATTTTTCAATTTTTGAAGGATAACGTCTTCAACTATATACGATTTGTGATCTTTTGACTTATCATTGAGAAAAATCAGTCTAGTGAAAGCTGAGTAAAAGTAATGACAGTTACAAAACAAAAAATAATATAAAAAATGATCACATCATAGTAAAATTAATACCTTTTCAATTCTTATTGAAGCTAAAAATAACAACAATAACTTTTTTAAAAAACAACTAAAAGAATGTTAAGCACCCATTGTAGAATTATAAATTTGTTAATTCTTAAGTTCATTAAACTTAATAGTATATTATAAATTGATTAATTTTAAGCGAAATTTATGAGTCAAGTATTCCCAACATGTTGAAAAAAAAATAGAATTTAGAGAAGAAAGTTATAGTCTGTCTCCATTTTTAAATAAAATATTTTATAACTCACGTTTCAGTAAAGAAAATTGATAAACTTACAAATAAAAATTATATAGAAACAAAAATACTTTCAATTTTTTTTACACCAGCAAATAACTTCTGGGGCTTCATTTAACTATCTTGATTTTTAAAAATTAAGATAGTATGGCAATAGAAATGAAAAAGTCTACTACAAAATATTAGCGTTAGTCAAAAAATATGCTTTCAAAAAAAATATTAGGCCTGAAATACATATTGATATATCACCTTTAATTGTTAAACCTAAATCAATAATTAAAACTTTTATAATAAATAATTTTTCAATAAACTATAATAGTTCATAATTTAATATATAGAATTATAAGGTTAATATTCTGTTATCATAACATATAATTGAAAACTTTTAAGTAGACAATAGATTTGATCTCTGAAATACTATTTTTTATGCTATAATAAATTTAATAAGATAATTGAATCACTAAAAATTAAATAAGTCCAGTTTTGTTAATTATAATTTCAGAATTACTTTAAGTTGAGGTATAATAGACTTTAAATTACTAAAAAGTAACAGTATTTTACGAATATTTAAAAATATAAATTATATAATATTTAAACTATTTTGACATTAATATTTCAATCCTAATAACAAATGGAATAAAGATCTTTATTTTTTCTGATAAATTATATCATAAATTGAGTCTCTCATTATGAATGTGGGAACATTTGTACTATCAAATATTTTTGTATTATTAATATCCCTCAAATATAAATTAGTTATGTCTAATCTTAATAATTAATTTTTTTTTTAATTAAAAAAAATTTACATTCCAATACAACCTAGCAAGAGTAAAAAAAAAATTATTATTTTTATATTGTATTTATTTGTAAGTAATTGAATGGCTCTAATACATGATAATACATATATTAGTTTTAAAATAATAATTAAACTTTAACGGCAACAATATCATTCAAATTAATATGATATATTTCAAATAATTTGTATAATGTAAATTAAAAATTATCTATAACAAATAATTTTTTTTTATTCTCTATGATATTCAATTTATGTTTGGGTTTGATTTAATATAAAATGTTATACAAACTTATCTATTATTAATAACACTAAATATATTAAAGATATTTGGTTTTTTATACTAATAATAATTATTACCAGCTAATTGTTAATTAATGAAGAATGTTTAAATGTTTACATGTTAATTAAGCTACTATTTCATTCTCTTATTACACAAATTTTAAACCTAAATACTTATTGAAGGTAGTGTAATATGTTATCTAAGAGAAAGATATCAGATATTTTTTTTAATTGACCATTTTTAGTATCATTGACTCTTTTTGTGATAAAGAAATGTACAAACCACAGAAAATACATATTAAACTTACTTAATTAAATTTGCAATTAATTTTTTACATTTCAGTTAAGCTCAAAGATAAAAATTACAAAAACAGTAAGGAATTAAAACCAAAATCGCATAAACCTATAATAAAAATAAAGTCTGCTCAGTAGATTGTAAATATTATACAATCTTGATTTATTATATTGATAAAAATAAACAAATTTTTAATCATAGTGATACTAATAAAAAAAATTTTGAAATTTATATAATAAAACAAATATTAAATTTTTATCACATTGTTATAAATCCAACAGAAATTAGGATCAAAGACTTTCATTTCAGTTTTACTAAGTACCCCAAGGTCTTTTATATTGGTTATTACTAGTCATAAATAAAAATAATTTTGGTACTGAAATATATTTTAGTTACTAGAGCTCTGCTCTAAATTACCAATTAACTCTAAAATCAGACATATCTTAGTTTCCAAGTTATCCAACTTCTACGCTGGATAACTTTTATTAGTCTATATTTAATTTTGGTTAAATTTTGACAACTTACTTTAATATTATTGGTCGTTGGACAGCAATAGTTAACTGGAGGAAAATCACTGTACGGATGCATTCCGATTTGTGATGTAGAATGTTAAAAACACGTCAATTCTGCGGTAGCATAATATTAACACTAGAAGACAATAACATTCAATGAGTTTTCACGTACTCACATGTCACAAACGTACGAAGGAAACACTAACTAAAAACATTAATATTTGGATCAGTTCCAGTAAAAATGTTCATGTTATGTTATCACTAGCACTGAAAGTACTACCTCATAACCAACACAACTGTTATCTCATATTCACAAATTTTTAACAATGATATCGTTTAAAAATATTTAGTTACGAAAGAATAATAAAATAAAGTAACAAGTTTTGTGTACGTTGTGCTTACGCAGTTCATTATTTATATTTAAATTATTTTTAAGTTAACAAAAATAATTTAGGTTTAAGGTAGTTTTTTAAATAAATTTTATGTTAGAATAAAATACTTTTAAAAAAAGAAATATTTTTGCTAAGTAATTGATCGTCATTTACTTGCTTGAAAGCAGGTAAATAAGCGAAAACGACGGCTCGGTTGGAATGTTTATAGAGGTCATGATACATATACCCCTACCTCAAAATCTAAACTTAACTATGTCACTGAGCCAAACGTTAGATACTTGCTAGCTAGCTAATTTGCCTAAATTGTTCTCTTTAAATTATTAAAATAAAAAATTAGAAATTCACGTATGATACTTTAAATAAAAATAGTCATAATAGAGATACTGAATGTATAATTTGATATGAAAAAATATACTAATATTCTGATTTGAAATGGAATTTCTGAATGATATAGATAATTTTTAAACTCTTAAAAGTGAATAACACTCAATATTTTACTTCACATTAAGTAATAATGCCTCCGCTTAAAAATTTTGAAAGTAACAAACCTAAGAATTGATCCCATAAATTAAAACAGTTTAAAATGTGTTAAAAAGAGTAATAAAAACATTATGTGGATCTCACATTATGGGTCCGATGAGTCTAGTTTATAGAAGGGCACTTGGGTGAATTGCACTGGCCCTCCTCTCGAAATATCAACCTCAAAAAATAGAAAAACAAAGGTATTTATAATGATATGAATAGACGATTCATAAAAGCATGATGCGTTTCCGATTGAGCTAATTAGGTTGCCTATTAATGTTCAGTTACAGCCAAAATATATATTAAAGGGTCTAATATTTTAATTTGTAATTTTAGCTTCGATGCGAAGCTGAGAAGGTATTGGTTTTACTATGATGTGTTTTTTTTTTTGTGTGTCTATTACCACTTTTTCTCAGCTCTCACCGAACCGATTTCTTTCAACGATACGTCAAAAGATCACAAATCGTATCTAGTCGAAGACATTACCCTTCAAAATTAAAAAAATTTCCCTCGTTCCCCGTAAATGGGGGAAACCTCCAAAAAAATTACAAATTTAAAAATCGCTAATTTTTAAGTGACCGGAAGGTCTGACACTTTTATATATATCTTAAATTAAAGCTAATGTAATATACTTTATTATGAAAAAAAAAAATTTCGGACTTTATTTTGTCTTCACGTTGAAAATGACTACCGAATGCTATTTTTGTGTGAAAATTTTCGATTTTATAATTTACATTTTAGCTTCGATGCGAAGCTGAGAAGGTATTAATTTTACTATGATGTGTTTTTTTTTTTTTACTTATTTATTATTTTTTCTTTTTGTGTCTGTCACCNTTTTTTACTTATTTATTATTTTTTCTTTTTGTGTCTGTCACCACTCTTACCTATCATTTTATATATTTTTGTGAACATTTAACCCTTTAAAAGCCCAAAGGATGGGGTTTCAAAATGGTAACTTTTTTACAAAAAATTAATTTTTTCAACTTAACTTTTGAAAATGTTCCGGAAAGACTGACACTTTTATATATATCTTAAATTAAAGCTTATGTAATATACTTTAATTTGAAAAAAAAAAATTTGACCTCTGGACTTGTCTTCGTGGTGAAAACGGACATCAAAGTTAAAGAAAAACGTACGATTTCCGTGAAAAAAATCTCGATTTTATATGTTATATTATTTAATTTATATTTTATATAACTTTTGGAAAAATGTATGGATCTATATTATTATTTTTTTATAATAAATATTGATATACCCCTTTCATCTGGCACGCTTTTTTTGTAAATCGGATCATACCCCTTTAACAAGGGGGGTCAAAACTTTAAACATGCGTATTGTTACTACGATATTTTCAATTTAATTTTTGAAAGTATTCCGGAAATACTGACACTTTTAAATATATCTTAAATTAAAGCTTATGTAATATACTTTAATGTGAAAAAAAAAAATTTGACCTCTGGATTTGTCTTCATGGTAAAAATGACTACCGTATGCAAAAATATGCTATTTTTGTGTTAAAATTCTGGGTTTTGTATTTTATTTTATTTTAAAATACCTGACAAGGGGAGTACAGATTTTCATAAATATTATATAAATTAAAATTGATATAGTATAGATAGTTAAACTTATTTAAATATGTTTGTTTCTTTTAAGTCGAGAAAAATAACTTTGAAATTTGAACTAGCTTAAATAGCCAATTTTTCAACCGCCGGAAGCAACGTACGGTTGCCGAGTTGGTAAAATTTATGTTTTACACGCTTGGGGTACGAGGTTCCAACCCGCATATGGCAATGAATTTTTTGCATTTTTTCTTAATTCTTTTTAAGTTAGTATAAATTTTAACTCGTTTGATTTTTATCACATTTAGATTCAATAACTTCAATAAAGATCAAGGATCCCATCACTTTAGTCGCCCCTTGCAAGAAGAAATTTCTTATTCGTATTAAAATTATTTTACTATATTTTAAGTTTTCGCTTCGATGCAAAGCCGAGAAGATATTTTTTTGTGACTATCATTTATTTTCTCTGCTCTAACTTGACCTACTTTTTTCAACAATACGTCAAATTACTACAATTCGTATCTAGTTGAAGATATTACTCTCAAAAATTGAAAAAAAAATTCTAATTTATCAATTAAACAGTTAGTTATTACATCGTCTCCATAAAGACAATTAAAATCATTAATTTCTAATGTTTTCAAAATATTTATTAACGAATGAAGTTTGATATGATAGGTTTCAACTACAAAATTAAATCATTTTACTTTGTAATTTAATAATTTTTTTACTCTATTTGTGTGTGCTACTACTAGACTATAATATTACAATTTTTTTTTGTAACATGTTGCTATATAAATCATTTCTAAAAAAAATGATTGTTTTTTCTCCTGAATTAACAATTGATTTTTACAAATATAATCAAATTTTATAATACACTCAATTGAGTAAATCTTTTTAACAACTTTGTTTTGATTGGTACATTTAGTTAAAGTAAATCATTAAAATTAATTAAGTTCTCAATATTTCAATTATAGAATCTTTTCAACAAACAACAAAAGTTCCTAGGAAATTATTACTATTACTTCTATTTAAGTTATCTATTACCATAAAAATGCAAAAAAATATTGAGCTTTTCTGATAAATTTACAATAAATAGTAATTATAAAACTTTCTGACTGCATATTGATCTTAACGATACAATTTTTTTAATTGTCATAAAATTTTCTATTTAATTATGTCAATGTCAAACTTACCAATTGAGCTAAAAGTTATGGTAAAATAAATTTTTTTTTTTTATTATAAACATTTACAACAATCAACTTTAAACGATTAACAAAATAGGTTAAATATGTCATTTTCCTTATTTTTAACTTATTAATAATCAAATTAATATTAAATATTATATCAAATCAGTATTAATTTAAAACAATTTTTTTTGTTCTTAATTATTTTTTTTTATATGTAAAAACTATTTTTTAATAATATTAAAACTTAGAAGTTATAGAAAAAGTCTAATTGCACATTTTAAAACATCGCGAAAAGTTGATTTAGAATAGTATATTTTTGTTTCTGATGGAAGTTCCTTGTAGTCCAGTGTATAAAACTTATAACTTTGTTAATTGTTATAACTTTATCAAAAATGACCAAATCAGTATATTTTTTTTTATTTAGATGCATGTCTTTATCTATCATTTGGTTTTTTTTATAAATCTAACCCTTTACCTGCCCACAAGAGGGATTCAAAATATTAACTTTTTTTTTTTTAGTTAAAGTAAATCATTAAAATTAATTCAGTTCTGGATATTTCAATAGTAGAATCTTTTTAAATATCAAAAATTACTTAGAAATGATTACTATGATTTCTATTTAAGTGTTCTATTACGATAAAAATGCAAAAAATAATGAGTTTTTCTGATAAATTTACAATAAATAATAATTATAAAACTTTCTGACTGCATATTAATCTTAAAAATAACATTGTTTTAATTCTCATAAAATTTTCTATTTAATGATTCATTCTAGTCAACGAAGGAGTAATTTTGCAGAATAGCAGAAAAAATTCCCAACAAACTTTTTTTTTTTTTGTTTTAATTAGGCAATTGGTGGATTATTCCAAAAGCAACATCAACTCTTATTTCTTTAATTATATCATGATTAGTAGTTCTTTGATTTTAAAATATAATATATGAATATATACTAATTATAATTATTAAATTTAGTATGAAATTGATATTTAATATTGTAATTTAAACGGAGAAATTATAAAAATAATAAAGAAGTTATATTTTGCTTTACTTTTACGTGTATAAAAATTTAAAGGGCTTGATACAATAATTTTCAATAAAAACTGTTTGTTACTATAAAAAAATGCACTGGACTACAAGGAACTTTCATCAGAAGCAAAAATATACTTTTCTAAATCAAATTTTCGCGTTGTTTTCAAATCTGCAAGTAGACTATTTCTATCACTTCTAATTTTTTATATTATTACTAATTATATATATAAAATAATAATTAAAAGAAAAAAAAATTTGTTTTCAAATTATTACTGATTTGATTTTTAATATGTTAAAAATAATCAGTCCAAATTTTCAATTTTAACCTATTTTTTTGGTTCTTTAAAGTTGATGAAAAATTTTTGATAAAGATTTATGAAAGTTTATAGTAAAATAAATTGAATATATTACCATAACTTTTAGCTCAATTACAAGTTTAAAATTGACATCTAGGCCTGTCAACAAAGGAAAAATTGCGGAAAAAATTTTGTTTTTTTAAAAGTTGAATTAAAATATGTATAATGACATACTAATAGTCCTCAAGATTGGAATTGAGCTTTTTTTTTAAATCCTCGCAAAAGTTCAAAAATATGAGCTTTCTTAATTTTCTCAAAAAAAAATATTTAACTTACAAAAAAAAGTTTCGCACAAAAGTTGTTTAAAAGACAATTATAAATAAAAATATAATCTTATATTTTTTCATTTAAACAAATATTTTTCGAGTTACATTACATTTAATATGAGTAATAAAATTTATATTCCATTTTTTTCATTTTACGGTTACTTTTTATCATGTTATACTTACATTAGACACAATGTTATAAATGCATATGTGTGTATGTGTGAGTTTATTTATTTATTGTATCATTAAAGTGTAGTGTATATTGAGATACAACCGATAGAGTAGGTAATTGATTTGACGCTATATTATTTAAACCCAACTAAACGCTAAATTGTACATTCCGAAACAACAATCATATTATGTCAATTGCCACCGGAATTTCTGGTAATATTTTTCTTTTTCTTTGCCTTAATCCCAACTACTTGGGGTCGGCCACCCTTATCCTAAGCTTCCACTTGACACGATCTCCCACATCTTCTACGCTCACATCAGCTGTCCTCAAATCGCATTCAATAGCATCCCTCCATCTCTTTTTTGGTCTTCCTCTATCTCTTCTTCCTTCAACATTCATTTCTATAACTGTTCTTACAGCTTTCGATTCTTCTTTCCTCATACCATGACTAAACAATCTAAGTCTATTTTCTGTCATCTTATCCACGATTGACGCAACACCTATACTTCCTCTTATATGCTCGTTCCTTATCCTATCTTCTCTAGTCACTCCACTCATCCAACTAAGCATTCTCATCTCTGCTACACTTATTCTCTGCTCTACTTTCTTATCAACCGCCCAACACTATTAACCATACATCATAGCTGGCCTCACAATTTCATACTAAATTTAAAAACTATAATTAGTATTTATTCATATATTATATTTTAAAATCAAAGAACTACTAATCAGGATATAATTAAAGAAATAAGAGTTCATGTTGCTTTTAAAATATTTCACCAATTTCTCTAAAGGAAACACTATCTACAGATTTGCATCGAAGCGTTTCTTATGATAGTGATTTTAATCACTGTCAGATATCATCTATACTTGTCTCATCTATGCCTCGTCCACACTGTGCCTCGACCCCACTGTGCCACCGTTTTTTTTTACTTTAAAGTGCTATAACTTTTTGAATAATATATGGATCAATACAATATTTTATGAGAAATAATATTTTTTAATAATCTCTTTTTCATTTAACATACTATATCTTAATCAGGATATTAATAAGGAACTAGCAGATCATGTAGCTTTTGGAATAATACACCCATTTTTTAAAATTAAACACTATCTAAAGATTTGCATGGAAGCGTTTTTTTTTTTTTATAGTGATTTTAATCACCGTCAGATATCATTATACTTGATCCAACTATTTCACGTCACCACTGTGCCGCGACCCCCCTGTGCTGGGTTTTTGTTTTTGTTTTATTTTATCTTATAACATATAAAAGACGTAAGATTTTCGAAACATGGTCAAAAATTGAAAGAAATATAATTTTAATGAAATAACGCTAAAAAAATAATTGTACTGTTCTGAGGATCAAAAAAAATTATTACAATCATAAGATAAAAATTAAAAAAAAGATTTTTGCGAAAACTGAGGAAAATTACTCGATATGATAAGGGTCTTTTGACGTTCTAATGATTAATTTTTATATAGAAAAAAGCTTGAAGACGAGGTGACTACTACAAACAAATAAAAAAGAAATGAACATCATACAAAAATTAATACCTTCGGAAACCCGTATCATATGTATTATAAAAGTTAAAACGAGTAAAACAAAATATAAATTCAATCAAACCTAATAAACCCAAATCAAACCTATTATTTATTATAAAATATTGAATTTTTACTGAATGCTACGTAACATTTATTTAATTTACAGTAAGATATTTCAAAATGATCTTAAGATAAGAAATCAAATTTTAGTGTTAACTGAAGACTTTTTTTTATACATTTAAGTACATTTACGTGTTTGAAAATAATGAAAATAGAGTAAATATCTCGAATTTCATGGCTCAATCAAGTTTTCAAAACAATGTAATTTTCATTAATTTTTTCAAAATGAGTTATCGATAGATTAAAATAAATAGTAATAATAACTGTACTTAGTACCTATAACCTACGTTTCAAAGTAAAAAACCTTGAATATATATTGTCTAAATTGTAAGAAAAAGTATATATTTTATGATTCATTCAAGAATTAATGAGGCAATATTACAGGAATTTATCTAAAAGTATCATCCTTTGCAATTGTTTGTAACAAATAAAATGTGCTTTCATTTTTTGTTATTATTATTAATTAATTAATTAATTATTATAATAATATTAAAGATAAATAATTCAAATCAATATTAACTTTACTTAATAGAATCAGTATAATAATAATAATAGTGTAACATAATATGTTGATGTATTTATAAGCATGTTATTAAATAAGTGTTAAAGACAATCACTACCTGATTGTGTTATAATCTACATAAATGTATGCCTCATACATCTGATTCACATAAATGCATAAATTTACATATAATATGTATTATTATATTTTAATGCATGTATATTTTAGAACTTGAAATTAGTAAAATACAAATATTTTTTCATAAAAGCAAAACAAAAAGTAAATGTTTTTTTTTTAAATACTGCATTTTTTATAATAACCAAGGAACATACTATTTGTCTTTATTATTATTTTTTTAAACTTAACTTTTGACTCAATTTCTATTTTGTAACTTTAAAAATGTGTTTTTGCTAAAAATTTAATATTTTGGCGTCTGAGTAGTTAAATAACAGATATAATTATTATTATTAAATAATAAGTAATGACATTTTAAATGTGTTTGTTTAAAATTTAAAACATTTAAAAATATTTAAAATTTAAATTTACTTTATAAATATTTACATAAGAGGGAAGGTGTAGCCCAGTCGGTAACGCGGCAGTGCTTAACGAGCACTGCCACAGGTTCGAAACTCGGTCAGGGGCACCAAAATTTGACGAGCGAGAGATCAGATCAGTAATTGGAGTCGCCATCCCTCTCTTTAGCAACTGACTAACCACTCGTATCGGAGTATCAATTTAATATCCTGAATGTTCCTGAAAATTAAGTTGAAAAAGTTCTACTTTTTATATGCATTTTTATGTTTTAAATCCCCCCCCTCTGTTTTAAGGGAAATGGTCCGATTTAAAAAAAAAATATGTCGAATGAAAGAAGTATATAAATATTATTTCTTATAAAAAAATTGTATTGATCCATACATTTTTCAAAAAGTTATAACATTAATAAGTTAAAAATGTAAAATATAAAATCGAGAATTTTAACACAAAAATAGCATACAGTTGCCATTTTCACCGTGAAGACAAAATAAAGACCGAAATTTGTTTTTTCTATAATAAAGTATATTACATTAGCTTTAATTTAAGATATATATATATATATATATATAAAAGTGTCAGTATTTCCGGAAAATTTTAAAAAGTTAATTTTTTGTGAAAAAGTTATCATTTTGAATTCCCCCTTGTGGACAGGTAAAGGATCAAATGAATAAAAAAAATATATCAAATGATAGGTAAGGACATTATGCATCTATTAAAAAAAAAAATGATATTGATTTGTTCAATTTTGAAAAAGTAATGCAATTTTAAGTAAAAAAAATTGAAAAAATTAGTGATTTTTAAATTTGTAATTTTTTTGGAGGTTTCCCCCATTTACGGGGAACGATGGAATTTCTTTCAATTTTTAAGGGTAATGTCTTCGACTAGATATGATTTGTGATCTTTTGACGTATCATTGAAAGAAATCGGTTTGGTAAGAGCTGAGAAAAAGTGGTAAAAGACACAAAAAAAAAATAATAAATAAAAAAAAAACATATCTTAGTAAAACCGTAATGAAGCTAAAATTGAATTTTTAAATCGAGCTTTTTTATAAAATGTTTGGAAAAACTAAAAAATATATGAATAGTTTTATTTTTATTTTATTTATTTTGTATTTTTAAAAAAATAAATAAGTTAAAAATATACTTGTATACCAAATTTCATATTTTTAGTGTAGACACACTGGTTTTGTTATCATGTATTATTGCCGCTGATAAAATTATGGAAGCAATCATTTAATCATTGACCATGTTTGGAGTCGTTTCCATTCTTTTAGTAATTTCTGAATAGTCTGCTATTGAAATATCAGTATTTTTAAATTTAATTTTTACCTATTGAAATGGAAAGTATAAAAGAATTGTCCAATATGCTTGAGGTTTATGTATGCACTTCATTGTCAGAGCCAGAAATAAATCCTCGTAGATATAGAAGAGGAATGACTGTGAGCGAACTTAAAAATAAATTAGAAATGGTAACTGGTCGATCAGCTAATTCAATGAATTTGTCAGCTTATGACAAAGATAAATTTGTCGCAAAGCTAGATGATGATGACTCTCAGATTGGCTCATATTCAATTGAAAATGGTATGCAATTATTAGTTGAAGATCCTACCTTTCAGAATTTAGATCAGGATTCTATAGATGGCTATAAAATGACGGAAGAAGAATATGATGCAAAACAGGTATGTATATAAATAAAATTAATTGATCTTTCTGTTGCAAGAATATGGTTTTCCAATTTTTTCAAAATGCATGTATTTAAATGTTTGATAAAAAATATAATTTTATTCATAGTTCTGGACAAACCAGATATATATTTGTTAGATAAGTTAATAACATACAAATGTAGGTGTCTGGCTTTTAAATTTCAGTGCAATAACTAAATTTGTGTTGTTTGTATTTTTTGAATAATTTCATACTTTATCTGGTTTTTGCTCAAGATTTTTCAAATGTTATGAATATTTTAATGAATAATATTTTGAAAATTTTACAGGAAACATTAAAAAGTTTTTTAAAGAACAACAAACTAGGTAAATATAATCCAGAGTATATACAACAGCGTAAACAAGAAGCTCTTGAAAAAGAAAAATTAGAAAATGCTGAAAAACAATTGATTGATAATATGAAAATTGGTCAAAGATGTTGTATAAAATTACCTAATAAACCCATTCAGCGGGGTACAGTCATGTATCTAGGTCAAATAGAAGAAAAGAGTGGATATTGGGTAGGAGTTAAATATGATGAACCTTATGGTAAACATGATGGTTCTATAAATGGAAAGAGGTATTTCGAAACTCTTCCCAAATATGCATCATTTGTCACACCATCTGCAGTTGAAGTGGGAGATTTTCCAGTTATAGATGATGAACTTTAAATTTTAATCCTTGTCCTTACTATTATTACTGAAAAGAGTTTGTTTACTTTAATAATTTTTATAATTATATTATGATGAATGTATAATTTTGTGTGTGGCAATAATGATAGGAGGACACAATATATTAATTCATAATTCATGGTCCTTAAGGACCATAAAAAGCAAAAAAAAAAATAGGATATTTATTTTTCTTTTAGAGAAATTAGTCTTTTAAAAGTTGTATATCAATTATTTTACTATAAAAATAGTGTATATATATATAATTTTTGTAAACTACACTTGTATTATAATATTTAATGTATTATATATTAGAGCTTATGTTAATTGTGTTAATCATAGTATTTAAAATATAATTTATTTTGTGTATAATATGCATTTCAAATATTGTATCAATTTTAATTATAATATTATCTATTTCTTCGCTAACTACTCAAATTGTAAACAACTAATGATACATTCCTTTTTTATTTGTAACTTTGAGAACACTATATAATAAAAATGCATTAAAAAATGTAATTAGTTTTTTTTTATAATATAATTTTAAAATTGTAGCATTGAATTTGAGTAATTTATAAAAAGTATTATAGTAATAGTATTCAAATACTATTACTACTCTAAACTTTTTTATGTCTTGATTCAAAACTAAATATAATAGTTTAAATAACTTTATTATGGTGTTCATTAATTGTATTTAAGATTATGATGTTTATTCAAATCAAATAAAACCATTGGCATATTTTACTGGGAGTTGATAGGTTCTGACCCCATTAAACAAAGTAGCAATGGAAAGATTCAATGTGTCTAAAAGTTCTCTAGATCCGCCATAAAAAATTTCTAAATAGACCACTAAATAAGATAATAATATTAATATTATTGTAAGGTATTTAGTAATTATTATGAATGAATGTATTAACTTAAAATATATAGTTTAAAAATTATTTAATCAATTTCGCTAGGCTGATATATTTTTATTGTTTTGATCGCCTTGAAAAAGGACAGCAAAATTACTGAGTGTAGTAATGAAAAGTTTTTAGGGTTATAATTTTAATAAAAAGTTTTTCTAACATAAAAAGTATTTGTAATAGAATTAGAAAGTACTTGAGTATTACTCTTATACAATTGCTCAACAAAAAATCTTTTGAATTCATTTAAAATTTATTTTTTACAAAATTGGAAATGATATATGTATCATTTCATACATTGTTCAGTAAACGAAATGGAAATATCATTCACCCATTTTTAGAATTAATTAACCACCAAATAATTACAATTTTAGTAGAGAATAAAGAAGATAAAATTGCTTTTTGTTTATTTTTTTAATACACTTTTTGGTTCTATCACTTTTTTCATCTTAATATTATATTAATAAGTATAATAATTGAGTATAAATTATCAAATTCTAAAATTTAATTTTTCAAAAATATCGACAGTATTACACCAGGGGTTTTCATCTCTTTAAAATACGTTCCTGAAAAAGTATAATTTTAACCAATTAACTAATTAGAAGTTTAAGAATTATTGATTTGAGAAGTAGATATACCACTGAACTAACCATATTATGGTTAGTCCTACAGTTATGTATTACTTTATTTATAGCGACTACAAATTAATATTTAAGTCCGGAAAATGCCAACTTCAATTATTTTTTTTAATAAAGAACCCTTTGTTCACGTTTTCTGACTGAAATACATGTAATTATGTTATATCAAATAGCCCTTTGATGGCCTTTTTCCTGGCTTCAAGGCTCAATATTGGATATTACAGGAAGTCAGTTATCTAGTTATAATGAGTATTTGAGGTTAGTCCATATTAATTGTAATCAATAATAAAAAAGTAAAAAATGATAACAGTATACTGATAACAAGGTGGATTTATTCATCATGACCAATACGAAAATTTAATTTTTAAATACTGGAAAATTGCAATACTTTTCTTGATCATTTAACTATTTAAGTTACAATAATTGATGTCGAAACATATTATTATATGAGTTAGAATTAAAAGTAGTAAGATGAGTTTTACCTTATTGAAATGTTTTTCAAAATTGGTTCCCACATTATCGCGATCAAGCCATTATACAAGTGCTATTAGTTTAAAAAACTTATATCCTGATAGTTCATTAAAAATAACTACTCCTCAACCTGATCAAGTAATTGATACAATTATTATAGATCTACATTATTTTATTGTAATTTATAAGATTTTTTTTTTGTTATAATTATTATTTTTTATAAACAGATACCTACAAAAAAAGACGAGTTTAATGGATACATACCAATTGATGAATTAGAAATTACATACAGTACATCTAGTGGACCTGGCGGACAGAATGTTAACAAATTAAATTCAAAAGTAGACCTTAGATTCAAAGTGGAATCTGCAAATTGGCTAAGTGATAGTATGCGACATCGAATAATTACTATTGTAAGTTTTTCAGAATATTCTATCTTTTATATCAATTAAATTGTAAGTTTGATATGTAATTTTTTAGAATAAAACCAAGTTGACCAAAGAAGGATATTTAATAATAAGATCAGAAAAAACTCGATCACAACAATTAAATTTAGCTGATGCTATGGATCGTCTCCGTTCTTTAATTTGGAAAGCAATTGAACCAATACCTCAACAAACTGAAGAAACCTTAGAAAAAATTAGACGCAGGTGAAAAGAAAATTTACTATTGATAAATTGAAAAACAATTACAAAAACTTATAAACTTATAAAAACATTATTATATAACTTTTTGATATTGACTTATACTTTGATATATTTAATTTTAATACTGACTGTTTAATTTTCATTAATTCATTAAATTTATATATTTTTAAAGAAAGGTTTTTCCATTAATATCTAACCTATTATTATAGGTTATTGTTACTACTCTTATACTAAAAATTATACTTTATTTTTTTTGTTTTATATATATTTAATAAATTCTAATTTATTCAAAATGTTAGAATTGTGTTTGTATATACACAGTTCAATTTAATTAAGTAAGGATTTTCTATATTATTAAATTATTTCTCTATTGATTAATTTTTTCCGTCCATGCTATGGTTACGATTATTAATTATTTTTAATCTAATGTCATATATTAAAAGGGTATTATAAACAATGTCTATTTTTCTTAATATTTTTGGTTTTACACATTTTTTTTGCAAAGCCTATAACTAACCCAACAAAATTAAAAAAAAAGTGTTGTGGGTAATAAGCTACTATGCTTTTTTAGTACTATGTAGTACAAACATTTAATTTTGTATAACACTGTGTGTTATAAATCATAAAAATATTCTGCCATTTTAAGGTATTATTTAACTTAAGAAATTTTGTAATCTTAATAAATTCTAGAAAAAAGGTGTTAAATTAAATTAAATTTTTACATTAATAATATTAGTACTTTATTAAGGTAAGAGTATTGTTAATTATTTTTATTAATAAATTAATGAATTTTTAGGATTGAAGCTGCTAATCGTAAAAGGTTAGTAGATAAAAAAATGAAATCTATTACCAAGAGAAACCGTCAAGATTCAAAAATGTAATCAAATTATATATTTTATTTTAAAAATTCAGTTGAAATAAATTTTTTATCATTATATTTTGAAATCTAACTCATTTTTTTGGAAAACTTACTTCTTTATCTATAGCAAATTTATATATTTATTACAATTAATCTTATTTATAAGTTAAATTGCTACAAATAAGTTATTAACTCTAGGTTTTTATGTTATATTAGTTTATTTGAAAAGTAAGACAAAATATATACCAATTACCACTTTATTAGTGTTTCTATTTGATGCTTTCAACATTATGATTAAGAAAAAATGTTATTTCATCATATAGTTAGAGAAATAGCTTCAAAAAGTTTGAATGGTACATAGATTGAATGGATAATTTTTACAGATTTAATTTCGTTTTGCAATAATATCATTTTTTTTGTAATAGCTGAATTTTATTTTTTCATTAGACATATATTTATTATTTCATAGTTTAGTTTTTACTTAGTAAAGGTTATTTGAAAGTTGTATTTTCTGAGAAACCTTTTTTTATATTTACATTTTTAAGATAATAAAATTTAAATTATATAGAAGTACAATTTGTAAAAGCAAATTTATAGAAATTTAAAATTTATCAATAATTTTTGTCCAAGCTGATTAAGCTGATTATAATAGTTGTCATTTAAATGTTTATAACACTATCATTGATTTTACAAATAGTGCTTATAGAAACCTTCCACTTTCAAAAATTGGCAATTAATTAAAATAATCTATGTTCTTAATATTGAATTACATTAACACTTATGTTATTTACAACTAGTTAACACAGTTAAAATTAATACATTTATTACTGATTAATATTATTTTTATAAAAAAAATATATATATATATATATATATCAAAATACTATCTCAGTCAACATGTAATTTTTTATTTAAATTCAACTAGTTCTGATATTATACAAGAATAATTTATTGACTTAATTACATATACATAGTAGCATAATTCCAAAAATTTGAGTACATAAAATAGCATTATTTATTGAAATAATGGAGATATTCTTAGCAAAGTTAATTTATGTTGCTAATAAAAAAATGCAAATGTCTTACCTAAAAATAACTAAATAAAAAAAATATACAAAATTTGGTTGAATACTAACTCAGTCTCTTTAAAATTTCTATTTTTACAAACACGAATCCCTTGCATCATAACATTCATTCTAAGAAAAATTTAACTTCTTTTATAACAATTTAAACAATAAGGACAATTACACCCTACAATTGTATATATAGTACATATTAAAGCAATGATTAAATTAAAAAATAAAGTAAATGTATATACAGAAAGTGGTTGATATTTTTATTGTTTTTTATATTTTGAATAAACTAATGAAAACAAAATAGGAACACCATCTAAAGATAAAAATGATTTTAAATAAAATAATAAAGTTTAAAACTTATCCAAAATAAAATGGGAATAATTATGTATTTGTGTAATTATCCATGTTTTGGAAACATCTAAATTATTATCTATACAGTTACTCTTGTTCTAACTAATAAAATAATAATTAATAAATTTAACTTAAAAAAAAGTAAATTTAAATAAGTCATTTTTATAATAAATACTTAAAATTAAAACCAATGTTTACTGTATAAAACACTTTGGAATAAATGATATTTTGATGTTTAGACAATGAAAAAAAAATGTTAATATTATTTTAAAATATCACTAAAATTGATATTTAACATGACAAGAGTTTTCTTTTTAATAATAGTCAACAGTTTTAATCATTTTGTTAAATATGAAAATATTTCATTAAAACATACTATTTTGGTGAAAAACTGAGTTAAATGCTTAATATTACTCCAAAAAAATAAATATTATTGATAAATAACTAAACATAATTGATTAAGAATTGAAAAAATGATCTTTTTTGTTAACACTTTAAAGAGCAAATGTTATAACAGGTAAAAATTAACAACAATGGTTATTATTTAATAAATAATAAATTATATAGCACCATTATAATGCATCTAAATGATGTAACACACATATTACAATTGGCATGATTTCTTTCAAACTATTTTTTAAATACATGTATTATTATAAATTAAGATAATATTACAATGGGTATCATATTTTAATAATTTTTATTGAAATGTAAGCCAATAGTTTCATTAAATTAATGTTATAAATACCTTTTTGTTTGAAATGCTATTTTTAATTTGTAAAAATAAATAGCAAAGAAAAGAAATAGGAAAATGTGATGCATGTAAAAGTGCAATTATTAAACAATCAAAAAAATAATGTTTAGTGTAATAGAAACTTGGTCAACAAAATTTGTTTTTAATATTGCTATAAAAATGTTCAAAATAAAAACAAGTTTACTAAAAAGAAAAAAAATTGCACCATGTATAAAAAATAATATTTTATTTTTCTTTAAAGTAATCCTCCTTTACGAGCAAAAAACATTGAACTTATAAAGGTTCCTCGTGTTGGTTGAATAGTTTCATTGTCTGTTGAAGGAACTGGTGGTCCAACCGTACCTAAATCCATACGCAATCTTGGACCTTCAGTTTTTTCAGAATTAACTAACTGTTTCAATCGTTTTTGTAATGCACCATTTTCTGGTTTGGGTGGCTCAGCATCTTCAATGTCAAATATTGGTCGACTAGACAAATCAGTTTCAACAGTTGGTACATAGTGTTTTATGGTTTCCATAAGTCGAATACCAGCCAATGCCTAAGGAAAATAGAGAAATAAATTTAGTGTTGGCTATATTATATTTTATTATGTTTATTTTTACCTTCTTGTCAGGTCTTACTATTGATTTAGATTTACGAGACCTATGCTCATTTGATGATTCTGTACCTGTTAAAGTCTTCCTTAATAGTTTAGCACCACTATGCATTAAATAACCTAACATAAAAAATATAAAATATAAATAGTACACTGACATACTATCAGTTTATATAATAATTTAATTTTGGCCTTTGAATTTATGTTAAATCTAATTAGCACTTAATTTATATACCAGGTAATCCAAATGGATGAAAATATGGAGAATCTGAAGGTGAAGGAGAGCGTGAACGTTCAGGTGAACCATATGGACTATTACAAGGTGTAGCTGTAGCAGAAATCATAGGAGTAGCTAAAGCAGAAGGTGTGATTGCTTTAATACCCCGTTCATTTAACATAGCGGCTAATCCATAGTTAGTAGAAAATGTAACAGTTGAATTTCTTCTAGATAGCATAGGAGTTCCTTCTCTAGTTGGTACTTTACTGTTTACACGGCTATTAACAGCTGTTGTCATTGCACTTCCTCGAATACTATTATAACAAAATAAACAATGTATAGTATACGTTGTATAAATGTGGGTATCATGGGTGTCTAGATGGCACCACTTCCAGGGTCTGGAGGCAGATAGTGGTATCATTAAGTATAATAAGAAGTGAAAATTAAATTAAGTCGTGAGTCGGCTAAGACGTGTTTTTGTGTACATTTTTATTCATATGTGTGTTTTGTTTTATTTATGTTATTTTTGTTTGTGAATGTTTAACAGGGCTTTTGTGTGTGATTAAATATATATGTTATTTTTGTTTGTTAATATTTAACAGGGCTTCTGTATATGAATAAATATATATGTATTAAATAATAGTATTGCATCTTTACTCTGTTCCTGTGGTTGCCTGTTGTAATTCCCACATACATATGTAGTATAAATATATAGATTGATATGAAATTGCTATATTACCTAGGTGTAACACTAGTACCATCATCTGGATGCATGACAGTGGAATTAGTCATAGTATAAACATAACTAGACATTTGGAACATCTTCCCAGGATGTACAAGTTCATCTTCTTCAATTTCATCAAGTCTGAAAGTCTGAGGAAGACCTGCAATGGGAGCAGTAGAATCACATTTTTTAATTATGCCTTGAGGTTGTTCTTCAAGTATTGAACTTAATGATGGTACAGATTGCTGATTCCATTGTTGAAGAGTAAATGAACCTTGCATAGGCTTGACCAACTAAATATAGATTGTATTAAAAAAAAAAAAATTATTTATTATGAGTTTATAATTACCTGTAGTTTATTTGGTGCTTTCCAAGTAGGTAAACTTATACTTCCAGTAGACATTAAAGAGTCTGGAGTCCTAGTATCAGCAGAATCATAAGGATCTCCAAACATTAAGCCAGATCCTAGAGCAGCACGACGTGCTTTAATCGAAGCTGGAGTTAAACGTTTTAAAGCATTAGCTAAATCTTCTGATCCTGGAGCACCTGGTATACCTGGCTGTTCACTAAAAAAAATATAAATAAATTATACAATTAATATCATTTATTTGAAGAAAAAAAAAGATAAAATTAAGCTGGATAATTTATAACTATTTTTAACATTTTTTTTTTTTTATAATCAAAAATTCTCATACATAATAAAAGAATCAGTATCAGAGAAATCATCACAATCACTTTGTGTTGGAGATTCTTCTGTAAGGTCATTATAAGCAGTTTGTCTAGATAAATTTCTTGTACTAGTCTCCATTGAAGATGTTAGCTTCATCATACCAATTGACTTTTTATAGCTGCTTGCACCAGATCTTTAAAAAAATATTTTTACTATCTTAAATAAATGTATATTGAGTAAAATAAAGAACAGACAATAAAAAACTTACATTCTGCCAGTACATATACCAGAGTCCAAACTAAGTTCAGAGAATAATGAGCTTTCTAAAGAACTATGACCTTGGCTATTCAGTGCAGTCGAGTTTAAATATGGTGGTAAAGATGTAAATAAGGGGCCAGACCTAGCTAAAGGTATATTTTTATCTCTATGTTTTTTCAGTTCGGCCTGGCACTCTTGAAGCATTGTTAATGCTTCTTCATATTGCTTTTTTATTTCAGCTATTTCAGCTGCGAGTTCATTTTGGGTATCTCGTGCTAGTATTAACATTGACATGAGTTCTTCATTTTCATCAGTTTTCTAAAAATAAAAATTGATTTTTAATAAACAAATAAGTTGTCATTTAACAAAAACACCTACAATTTTTAATGATGATTCAACACTTGTTAATTTTGTACGTAAGAACTCGCAATTGTTGTGAAGAGTTACATTTTCTTCTCTATGTTTGTCTGCTTGCTCCATAATGACGGATAAATCAGACCGAGTTACACTAAGTTGGGAAGCAAAATCAGACATAAGTTGAGCTTCTTTAGCCTCTACCTCATCGGTTTGCATGGCGAGTCTGCTGGCTTCACCACGTAAAGAACGGTTTTCATCTTCAAGGCTTTTGAGACGCTTTTGTAAATAATCAGCACTAACACCATAATATTTTTCTCCTTTAACAGTTTCATCAGCTAATAAAATAATGTTAATTTAATAGCTTTACTTTTTAATATAGCACAAATAATTCAATAGCAAACTCACTGGCTTCATAGCCTGTGTCATCAGCATCATTGCTAAGAATTTTGATGAGATCGTTTTTTTTCTGCAATTCGTATGAAGCTTGAGTATACCTCTCATTCACAGTTTTTAATTCAGTTTCAAGAAAACCAACTCTGGCTTCAAGAGTTTGATTACCGGCCAAAAGTTCTTTACCTATACGAGCTGTTAGCTCTAAATCTTTCTCTTTCTACAAGAGATGATGTTTTTTATAAATAAGAAAATATTAATTTATTATAATTAATAAACTCACTTCTGCTAAAAGTTGGGTTACTGCCTCGATATCATTATAGGTTTTTGTCATTTGGCTTACGCGGTTGCTGCATAGAACTATAACACATGATGAAAAAAATTAATAAGATTGCATTTGAGACATATCACAGAAATCATTCATTGAGAATTGAGATAATATAACGTGTAGTTATTTTAATGTGTTGTTAAAACTTGCAACTGATAATAACTTTTGCCTGATTGCGTGAAGAGAATGGGTAGGAGGGATTTCAGGATGGTTGAAGGGCAAACTGTTTTATTGATCTGTTGGCAACCCACGGTTTCTCTTATGCGCCTGAATGCATGTTTTTTATATTGGAGATTCTGTTTGGTACCGGTAAATTTATGAAATTTTATATGCAATTTAGTATAAAACAATAATTGACAAATTATTGATAAAATAAAAACTTAAATACCTTTTACATATTTAGATTTGAATATAATTATGTAAAAAAAATCATTTTAGTAGTATTATATTACATATAAAATTTAACTTTAAGAGCTTAAGAACATTGCGAGGAATCAATTACAATTACATAGCAACACAACAAAATTTAATTATTCTATATGTTTAAAAAAAGTTATGGACGACGAATATAAATGATAAGACAAATTATTCTACATCAATAATTTACTAACAAATGCAATTTTTAAAAATTAAATGTCTTGGGATCATTGAAGAAACCATATAAAGTAATTCTATAATAAGATAAAACTTTTTAATCGTTTATCGGATTGAAACATATTAATTTGACGCATTCACAGTGAAAATCGTATCATTTATCTAAAATAATGGCTAGTGAATGGCTGTTATCAAAATAATTTACCAATAATACTTTACAACTTAATAAATACTAAATAAAAAATTATGCAATGTAAATGAGAAAAATGATAAATTTTAGATTCTTAATAAGTATTATTATTAATGCTTAACAATTTATCTAAGTAAAATGTGCTTGAGAACTAGAGTTTATTGTTTTGCACCACAAGAAAATAACTGTACATTATATCTATTTTAGTGATGTATATTAACAAAACTTTAAACACACTTAAAAATTCAAGTTTAATACATACAAAATGTATTAAGCTTTTTTTGCGTCATTAAAAATAAATCTATCAATTATATGTCAGCACTTCAAAAATAATGACAAAAACAAATAAAAAGCATAGAAGACTTTCAATTAATTTTAAAAAGAGAAAAAAAACACCAGGAATGAATATAACATTTGTGAAATTTTTTTTAGCAAAATTTAGGAATCAAATAAAACGGTAATAAATTTTTAAAATATTTCCAACACAATTATAATAAAATATAATATGAAATGTTTAATTTAATAATGAACAACTAGTTTACCTAGTTAGTATATAATTTAGAGTGGCCCTTATAAGGTCAATTTAACATTATTCTTGCAATGTGCTGAATACAGCAAAAGAAATTAATACATATATTTAATACGTTCATAAAGGACATCACAAATATGACTAAAAATAAACAGTGTGAAAAGTAAAAAACATACCAACATTTTTGTCTTTTTTATTAATTAGTAAGTAAACAATAAAAATTATAAAAAAAATCATTCAAAAAACATTTTTACATAAATATCAAACTTATTAACTTATATAAAAAAACAAAATATTTTGTATAAAAGGATATTTTACAAACTTCACTTTTTTCCTTAATAATAATTATAACACATCACATTACAGAAAAATTAATTGTTTTTATTAGTTCGGTTAATTTTTTTTTATAAATTTCAAATTTAATGAGTTATTTTAAAATAACTGAATTTCAACCAATTTTCAACCCCTTTAAGGAACGGAAAAGGATGGACAATTCGAACTCAAATTTCACCCACATATTTCTTAAGGTTATTTAAACAAAATTGAGGGTGCTAATTTCATGTTTTTGAAGTTCAATATTAAGGACCACCTATATTATGACAAACTTAATTATAGTTGGTCATAAAACTGAAGAAACAATGGTTATTTTTAAATTGGGTGATTTACGCATAAATTAATTAAAACTTTTTAATGCCAATGTGTGTATAATGCTACAATGTAAGTAATATTTTAATAAAATTTTAAATAAAAGGTAAAGTACAGTAGGGATCCAACAAAATGGAATTGACATTTTTTAGATTAGTGTTGATTGATAACTCATAGTTATAATAATCAATGTAGTAAAACGTTTCGATGCGTATTTGAAAAAAATTAACATATCCACCAAAAAATACATGATTTACGACTTTAAAGGCTAATTATTCAAAGAAGATAACGTCTTTCTTTTTTACAATCATATAGTACATTAACTATAATTTGATTTAGTTATGAACGATGTATTCCTTTATTATGAAAAACACCCCAAAAACTGAAAATTGTATGATTTTTGTATTAATTAGATAATTTTTCTTTTTTTATCTAAAAAGACATTGTATTAACATCAATTTGATACGAGTTTAAAGAACACAGGTGTTTTGGAACATTATCAACAATTGAAAAAAAAATTCAATGATGATTTTGCCTTCTTCTAGGACATTGGTTGATGATTGAATTTTCCAAAACAGTGTGTCGTCGACAATAACAATGTTTTAAGTATTATAAATAAAAACTTCGCAAAGATACGTTTTATAATCTTTTGACGTATTGTTGAACAAAATCGATCTATAAGGATCGGAGATTAAATTATAATTATAATTAATATAAAATTAAAGAAACTTAGTATTTGTTAAGGTATTAAGACTAATGACTTATTACTTAAATTAATGACAAAAATCTATTCAAATTACAATATGTTTGAGTAAAAGAAAGCAAAATTTTACGTTCTAATATCGAATCATGAACCATATCAATAATAATTATGGCGCTTGCAAAAAGTGTAATACAATATTTTCAATAAATAATAAAAATGTTTGTTATATGTTACCAAAATTAACTAAGTCAGTAAAATTTTGATAACAAATTCATGACAAAAAATACATAGCTACAACAACGAACTATGGTAATTTGTTTATATTGGACATAAAATTATATTAAGGCATTGACAAACTTATAATAATAACTATAGTAAAACAAAACCTCAGTATTTGAAATATAATATTCTAAATTGTTTAAATCAGGTCGATTACCCTTTAGAGTGATTTAAAAGTATTGAAATTGCGTATTTGGTATTTCAAAAAGCGAAACTCAATGAAGTACGACCACCACACAGTATAAGGAAATGCATAATAATTGCACAAAGCGGTTTTCGACCCACAGATTTTTTTTAAATTCGTCTGACGATCGATAATTTTAAACAATATTGATCGATCTTGATAAACACAAAGAAAAATTATTAACATTTCACTTTTTTGCACGTAAACGTGTCTTAAACACTATCACGTTTTGATATAATTTCATCAGCATAATATGGATGTAGAAGAAACAAATACCAATATAGCTTGGGACAGTCATAAATAATAGTAAAAGTAAAAACTTCAATTTTTTTATTTTCGTATTTAAACAGATTATCTAGAAAGATACAATTGTGTATTTTCTGTAGCAAAGGGTATTATTAACGATTATCGGAAGGATTTAAGAAAATTAAATGATATTTCAAATATTAATAACAGGTCTTAAAGAGAATGGAACGAGAAAAATTAATTGTAACACACACAATATGCAACAGAAACGTGACGCGGCCATAGACGACAACGGCAAGTTGTCGTATGGTAAGTGAAAGGCGCGCGCGTATATCTTTCTCCTAGACAACAATTTTGATCGGATATTTGTAGTTATGGTCCGTACAAATGGTAACACAGAATATTAGCAATGTTTTACATAAACAATTAAATTTTACACAAAAACAGAATACAAGTTACCGAAGAGAAAAAATAAAACCAAGACAAATGTAATATTAGCATAGTCACTGACCATTGGTCAACATTAAATAACGAAAACTGCTAGCAATACGAGTAAATGACGAGTATGAACTCCTACGCACAGATAAAAACCATTTGGCACTGGTCTATTATTGGAAACTATTTATAAAATGTTTTAGAACAACTAGAAATAACTTAATAGTTACTTTTTCCGTTTCGCACATAATGTCGTAAAATAGTTTAAAATGCATTTTCTACTTAAAATACCACTAATGATCAATTTATTATAAAATCGTAAAAATAAGGCGTTTATTAATAAAAATATGTTTAAACATTATTTTAGTCACTTAATTAAAAAAATTAGAGAAACTGTATTCCATTTTCAATTGAAGCAAAAGTAAAAATATCAGACATAGTAAAAAAAAAAAAAATGAGAATTGTTTTTTGAAGTTAAACAAAAAACATATGGAACGGATGTATAAGAATAGTATACAAACTGATGGAGTATGTTCTTAAATCTAGGTGTGATGGTGATGCAAGATGATGGAAAATATAGGGCTAAAGAGGAATTTATTTCAATTTAAAAGAAAATACCATGATTAATAGATCTAATAAGAATGACGCTAATATCTTAAATCTTTGGCGATTTTAAAAAACTTATTAACTCTGAATGAATTTATGATGAGAATATACAGTAGAGATAAAATAAGTTAATGAATTAAGAAATAGTCTTATTGTTTTATAAGTATTCATAAAAGACACGATGCATATGAACATATTTATTTTTTGCAATACCATTTTTTGTACTACTTAATTGATGACAGTCTAAGTAATCTTAAATATAATAACTTTATAAAACATAACATTTTAAATAAGGTTACTTTTAAAGCAAAGAGTACAGAAATGTGATTTAAAATGGCGTAATACAATATTTTTTAATAATAAATTATTAATTTCCAGTATATTTATAAAAAAATTCATAGTACTGTAAATATCAACATTTAAAAATAATAAATATTATCAAGTAAAAAGAAGAGAAGAATACTTTTTGATTCATTATTCCCAACTTCCTTAAATTCAAATTCATTTCATGCATAAAATAGACTATTATAGCCTTTTTCAGAAACATGTGAAAGGAATTAGAGTTTAAGGAAGTTAAGAATAATTAATCAAAATTAACTTTTAAAGGAAATAATTAAAAAG